GCGTCTCATCCTACCTCCCCTGTTCGCACTGTTGGCCGTGCTTGTCGTGTCCCTCGTCCACGTCCTCCTCCAGTGCCAGGTACTCACACTATGGCACTTCGTCCTTCCTCTGCTCCACAGCGTGTCCCTCTGCCGTCTCCTCCTGCGTCCTCTCTTCTTGACGTTCCGGACCCTGAGTCTGACCGTGTTCGTGCTGCCAGCCCTACTGTCACACGTCTCTTGGCTACAGTCTTCACAGACCCATCGTTTTGAGTCTACTGCTGCGTTTGCCTTAGTTGCTGAGCTTGTGGACTTTGCTGCTACGTGTCGTCTAGACTACGCCGCCAGTCTTGTTGCTGAGTCTGAGTCTGCCTGTCCTCCGTCCGTCGGGGGTGAGTGTGCTCTTGGCACGGACGTCCTCGAGGACAGGCAGGAGGACTTTGAGTGTCTTGCGGCTGCTGTACCTCATCTTGTGGCATGGGTGCTTGCACCTGAGGGAGACCCGAATGCACTGGACATCCCGACCCTGCGCCCCTACGTAGAGGCGATCATGGGTCCCTACTCCTCTAAATGGCAGACAGCCATGGACGCAGAGATGGCATCCTGGAAGTCCACATGCACTTACGTCGACGCAGTTCCCCCTCCTGGGGCGAACATCGTCGATGACATGTGGATTTTCAGGGTGAAGCAGCCGCCGGGTTCTCCGCCTGTCTTCAAGGCTCGTTATGTTGCTCGAGGCTTCAGTCAGCGACAGGGAGTCGACTTCTTCCAGACCTTCTCCCCTACCCCAAAGATGACCACTCTTCAAATGCTGCTGCACGTTGCCGCGCAGCGTGACTACGAGCTTCACTCTCTTGACTTCAGCACAGCGTTCTTACAGGGCAGCCTGCACGAGGAGATCTGGCTGCGCCGCCCACCTAGCTTCACTGGGTCGTTTCCTGCTGGTACCCAGTGGAGCCTCCGGCGGCCGGTCTACGGTCTCCGCCAGGCGCCTCGTGAGTGGCACGAGACACTGAGGACGACACTTGTGGCTCTTGGGTTTGCTCCTTCCACTACTGACCCGTCGCTGTTTCTACGCATGGACACTTTGCTGCCGCCGTTCTACATCGTCGTGTACGTCGACGACTTGGTTTTTGCCACTGCTGACACTGAGGCTCTCGCCCTTGTGAAGTCGGAGCTGTAGAAGAGACACACGTGCACAGACCTGGGTGAGCTGCGCAGCTACTTTGGCTTGCAGATCACCCGGGACAGAGCACGGCACACCATCACCCTGACTCAGTCACACGTGGTGCAGCAGGTCCTTCAGCGCTTTGGCTTCCAGTTCTCCTCACCACAGTCCACTCCTCTGTCTACCGGTCACTCGCTCTCAGCTCCACCTTCGAACGAGTCCGTAGAGCCGAGTGGCCCATATCCAGAGCTTGTGGGCTGCCTCATATACCTGATGACCTGCACGCGACCTGACCTTGCGTACCCTCTTAGCATCCTGGCTCGCTATGTTGCGCCTGAGAGACACCGGCGAGAGCACTGGGAGGCTATCAACAGGGTGCTGCGCTACTTGTGCAGTACATCGGGCATGGGGCTGGTGCTTGGAGGACAAGGCCGAGTAGTCCTCACTGGACACTCAGACGCCTCTTGGGTTGACGACCTAGCTACGCAGCGGTTTTCACAGGGTTGCATGTTAAGCAAGCCTTGGTTCCGGCTCCGTTTTTTTGGGGTCTTCCTGCTTGTCTTCTATTCTCAACTCCAGTTGTGAGGCAGAGATCTATGCAGGAGCCATGGCTGCACAGGAGTTACGCTGGCTCACCTACCTGCTGACCGACTTGTAAGAATGGCCTCGTTCTCCTCCAGTTCTGTACGTAGACAACAAGGCTGCTATTGCCTTGTGTTAGGAGTACAGAGTGGATCAGAGAACGAAGCACATCGCTCTGCGTTACTTCCTTGCTCAAGAGTTGCAGCAGCGTGGTCAACTTCGTCTTGCTTACGTGGCCACCCAGGAGCTGATATATTCACTAAGGCACTTCCGCCTAGTGATCATCAGCTTCTTTGTACTGCTTCAGGCCTCGTGCCTTAGTTTGCTCACTTGCTCATTACGTGACTTTGCTTGTATTGTGATCTATATATATACCTGCATGCTTACACTTGCTAGGTTGTGATCACTGTACTGTTTGCTCTGTTTTATATAACTCTGCATGTGAACCGGCTTTGTGGCCATTTGCTTGTGCTCGGAATGTGTGGTGACTTCATGATCCACCCTGAGCTTGCTTTGTTTTTCTTGGCGTGACTGCTTGTACTCCCCCACCTTGCCTATGGGGGTGTGTCAGAATGTTGTGCTGTGTTGGCTGTAGTGGGGGAGCCAATATGGGGTACAACCCACTTAGGTTGTGTGAAGGAGGTGACCTAGGCCAGAGCCAGATCCAAGAAGCAGCTCAAGAGGTTAGCCACTTGGGAGAGGAACGAAACGAGGTGGAAGGAGGGGAAGGCACTTCGGACGTGGGACCTTCTGGGGGGGATCTGACAAGTTTATCAGTGATTCCTGCGATCGTCGAAGTGCAGCTTGACGAGTACGTAATCGTGTTGTCATGTATTATATAGCTATTTTTGTGTGCGATTCACTGCATGATTTTGGGATGCTTTGGCACCACCATACATCCAATTGTATCGCACTATCGTCTTCGTAAACCTGTTTCCTATTCACATTTTGTCCCCTTTACAGCCCAACTGCAGAGAGCCCCGGCTCAACAGTCCCAAAAAGATTGTCACGCATCCGGGGGTTTTCGCCAGTTGCCGCCGCAACAGCGCTCAAAGGAGCGGTATGTTTGTCAGACCCTTTTCATTTGCTTCAGATTTTCATGAGTCTCGGGGTAATATGCTGTCAACGCGCCGCATGCAAGGGATCGATGCAGCTGCGGTCATGGAAGGTGACATGGGCAACCTTCGGGGTCTTGTGGGTATGTGATACATGCTCCAAGGCCGTCAAATTTTGGTCTACCAAGCGGGGTGAAGTCACAAAAAAGCCCAACAAACAAGGTCCTAAGACTAGTTTTTTACTGCCCCGTTTTTTAGGCGCTTTCGTTATGGCAGGGCTTGGCTTCCAGCAGATGTCAGAGGTTAGTCAGACCTTAGGATTCATATCTATTGGTTGAGAGACTTTCTATCGTTACATGCGGCGTCCATTTGGGTTGTGGGGAGCCATCATTGTACATGAAGAGGATTGCATGGCAAGAGACAGACGCGACATGCAATTGCGAGATAAAGACGAGGTTGGGTACATATGCGTGGATGGTCGGTGGTCACAGGCTAGAGAGGGGCAATGGTGCATTGTTACGTTCATGGACCCGCGATCACGGAAGATACTGTTGACTGACACGATATAAAAAACTAAGGTAGGGGTGTCGTCTACTAAGTTAGAGGAGATAGCATTTTGAGCTGGCTTGCAAAAACTGAATGACTGGGGGTTCGAATTTACATGCATCATTTCGGACGATGGCGGGTCGTTCAAGAAAGTGTTAGAGGGGAAAGGTCTGAATCATCAGATGGACACTTGACATAAATATCGAGCACTTGTGAGGCTGTTTGTGAAGGGTTTTGTGGAGGCACAGCGCAACTCGATGAATGTTTCTTAGGCCAGGACTTGTTCTGATTTGTGGCAATTAACACAAAAGGATTTGTGGGAGTGGTTGGCTACGAGCGAAGGGGATCCTGGACGGATGATTGCAATTTCCGCGAGAAAAAAAAAAAAAACAATGATTAAAAAGGTCTGCAAAATACTCGGGACGATTAAGTTTGATGAAACGGCCAAGGCACCGGCCAAGTAGGTATACATGGAAATGTGGAAGGTCCTAACAATTAGGACGAAAGGGACACAACGTCCGACCAAACGAGGACGGGTCTCGAGGCACGAACGGGGGGTCGGAGCGGAGATCGAGCCAACGGATGGGGAGGGAGGAGAGAGGGTGGAGGCGTGTAATGAAGAGGGGTGTGGAGAGGGGCATAGCGACGGGGGAGTAGAGGATGTTGCTCGGGTGTTGGGCTTCAAGTGGGTGGATATTGATACTTTTTTTACTTCGATCCGCATCCTACCCATGCCGTGCGGGAGAGGGTTTGCAACGAATACATTCGCGAGTCGGCCAAGTTTCTTTCTTGCGGCGAGCTCCCCTCAGTTGACATTGTGGACACGGGGGAAATGCTACTTGGCGAGTCTGTAATCTTCGAAATTCATTACCGAATCTGATTGCACGTGTCTTGCGCATAACACCCCTTTCGAACCAATTGTTTGTTTTATTCAGGTGATGAATGCTTGGGTGGAGAGATGGCCCCTAGGCAACATGGGAGTGAGCCTACAGAGACGGAAATCATACAACAAGATGAGCCTTGGGGGAACGCGATTGAGGGATGTGATAAAAAGATGGCTGCAGAGAAGGGGCAAAAAATGGCCACGAGGGGATGGTGGGTGCGACGAAGAAGATACATGGAGGGGAGTGGAGGAGGTGTCGGTGGTTCAGCCACTGGGCATTCACTTTCATATGTCATGCTGCGTGCTGCAACTAAGGCTGAAGCAGGTCATCCAATGTCGTCACGTGAAGTCGCCGATGAGTTTGCTTTGTGTGCGGACTATTGGGCAGGCTTGCACGGGCATTGTGAGAGGGATGGCGAGTGTCCACGCTGTGTGCGGGAACGATGGGGTACGGAAAGTGCTTTGTATAGCCCGGTTCAGAGACGCAGGTAGCCTTAAGGAGTGGCTTTCGAAGAACTGTGACCCTAATCAAATGGCGGCATATGTACTGGGGGCTAGCACTTGGGTCAATGAATCGTTTCATTCATTGATCACAATATGCGTTGAAGCGCATAGCATTCCTTGGGAGTATGGAGCCACGAGTGGCATTGATGGTGCTTCATTGAAACCACAAGGTGGACCGGTTTGTGAAGGAGTGGCGCATTCGTGTTCGCAAGGCAACACGAGTGAGACGGGGAAAAAAGACAGGGTGCTTGGGGCAATGGATTAGAGTTGGGTGGATGCGGTGATGGACCGATGGTCCAAAATACGAGAGGGGGAAGATGGAGTTGTAGGAGTGTGTGGTGATGAAGAAGTGGAAGCGGAATTGAACATGGAGGAACGAAATGAGGTGGTGGAGGAGGACGAGGAGGTGGTGGAGGAGGTAGAGGAGGTGGTAGAGGAGGAAGAGGAGGTGGTAGTGGAAGAAGAGAAGGTGTTGGAGGGGGAAGAAAAGGGGGTGGAGGAAGCGGATGTGGTGGAGGAGGAAGAGGAGGTAGTGGAGGAGGAAGAGGATGGGGTGCCGAACCGGGTGGTAAGGGTAGAGGTAGCGGAGGAGGATGAGGGGTTGGGGTTGGCAGTAGAGGGTGGGAGGGAGGAGGGACAAATCGCGGATGATTTGAGGGTTTGCGATTCGAGCAAGCCTACAAGTGTGGGGGTGCGGGTTGTAGAGGTGGAGTTATTGGGAAGGGAGAGGGCCAGTGGTGCACGTTCACACATTGACTCGACATCTGTGCGTGAACCGTCCACCCCGACACGGGAGGGATTGTGCACACCTTCTATCTTCCCGTTCTCACTGGCAACCCCATCATCAGGGACGTTTTTGTTTAGTAGTTCAGATGGCGAGGCGAGTTCTGCCTCTTGGGCTCGTAGACGATGTCGCGCGATGGACAGAGTGCGCTCGAGCAGGGTTCGGCGTCACTTACCTATCGGTTAGTGTTGTTTTGTAAGTTAAAGTTGGCGGTGTTCTTGAAGTATGTTTTTTTCACCCGCATTCGATTTGGCATGTCATGAATCTGTCCCATCTACAGATGACGTGTCACGTCTTGGACAAGGATGAGAGCTCGCGAGAACCAAGGGCAAACGTCCTCGCAAAGTCCCTGATTGGTAAGCACATGTCATTGAAGCCGGCTTTCTCAGCGTGTACTTTGAAATCAACATATCCATTGATTCACCTGGCTTTTCCCTCTACAGTTATCGGGACTACTCTCATGACCTCGGGTCGTAATGTTGTCATGTAGTTACAAGAGCTTCACAACTCCTCGCGGTACGTTAGAACTACAACTCTTCCATCCTCTTCCTTCCCTTTCTCATCCCTACCCTTCCCTTCCCTACCCTCGTTATATCCCCACCTCTCTTCACACCATCTTCCGGCCCTCTCCGCCAACACCGTCCTCCCCCTCTCCCTGCCCTCTGTTTTCCCTCTCCTTGCCCTCTGTTTCCCCCCTCCTTGCCTTTCGTTTTCCCCTTCCTTGCCCTCTGTTTTCCCCCTCTTTGCCCCCTATTTTCCCCCTCCTTGCCCTCTGTTTCCCCCTTCCTTGCCCTCTGCTTCCCCCGTCCTTGCCCCATGTTTTCCCCCTCCTTGCCCTCTGTTTTCCCCCTCCAATCCCTCTGTTTTCCCCCTCCTTGCCCTCTGTTTCCCCCCTCCTTGCCCTCCGCTTTCCCCTTCCTTGCCCTCCGCTTTCCCCTTCCTTGCCCTCTGTTTTCCCCCTCCTTGCCCTTTGTTTTCCCCCTCCAAGCCCTCTGTTTCCCCCTCCTTGCCCCTTGTTTTGCCCCTCCTTGCCCTCTGTTTTCCCCCTCCTTGCCCTCTGTTTTCCCCCTCCTTGCCCTCTGTTTTCCCCCTCCTTGCCCTCTATTTTCCCCTTTCTTGCCCTCTGTTTCCCCCCTCCTTGCCCCCTGTTTTCCCCCTCCTTGCCCTCTGTTTTCCCCCTCACAAGCCCTCTGTTTTCCCCCTCCTTGCCCTCCGTTTCCCCCATCCTTGCCCTCTGTTTTCCCCCTCCTTGCCCTTTGTTTTCCCCCTCCTTGCCCTCTGTTTCCCCCCTCCTTGCCCTCTGTTTTCCCCCTCCTTGCCCTCTGTTTTCCCCCTCCTTGCCCTTTGTTTCCCCCCTCCTTGCCCTCGGTTTTCCCCCTCCTTGCCCTCTGTTTTCCCCCTCCTTGCCCTCTGTTTTCCCCCTTCTTGCCCTCTATGTTTCCCCTCCTTGCCCTCCGTTTCCCCCCTCCTTGCCCTCTTTTTCCCCCCTCCTTACCCTCCGTTTCCCCCCTCCTTGCCCTCTGTTTTCCCCCTCCTTGCCCTCTGTTTTCCCCCTCCTTGCCCTCTGTTTTCCCCCTCCTTGCCCCCTGTTTTCCCCCTCCTTGCCATCTGTTTTCCCCCTCCTTGCCCTCTGTTTTCCCCTTCCTTGCCCTCTGTTTTCCCCCTCATTGCCCACTTCCTTTCTCCTCCTTTCTCTCTCTTCCCCTTCTCCCTTCCCTCTCCCCTTTTTTCCCCGCAATTCCATCATGTTGTGCCGTTAGAGCCGATGCTAGCATCATCACCCTTCTGTTTTTTCACCTCACTGCCTCTCACATTCTCCCCCTTTCTCTGACTATTTCAGGCACAAGTGTATGCGGTGTTTTAATGCTTCAACTCGCCTCATTACCTTAGGGCATGACACAACCGTTGAAAGCATATGTAGTTGTCTACATTTTCTGCAGGGCAAGTGTGAGAGCTTCTATACTATGCTAAGTGGCATGGTCCTGCACATAGAGCAATACATTCACACATAAGGCTGCAGGTCTCTGACAATAATCCAATCATGTGCTTTCATATTCTACAACATTTATTAGAGCTAGAATTAGGATGATTTGCACGGCATGCAAAGGCAAGACCTTAATGGGCAATCCTAAACATGATGTTTGTATGTCGCACTAAACTACACCGCTTCTATTTGCCAAACCTATAAAGAAACGAAACCCATGGTTCAAAGCGGTTTCTATGTCACTACGATGACACGGCATCCCAAGAGGATGCTTCAAAATCAATCTAATCCGGGACTTTCCAACCATGGAGGAAGTACTCGACATCGTGCACGCAACACTTTGGGTACCCCTCATCTCCTTTCTCTGGATACAATGACACGATAGCCACGTATACTATCCATGGTAGAGTGACCTTGCCGTTTGCACGATCGCTCAAGAGGTCCAAGTAGTCAAGGTAACACCTGAACCTATGGTGTTTCGGCTCCATTGCCATCCCATCACAGGATTCACTCGTGTTTGCACCAGAAAAAATACGAGCCATGGCTTCAACCGTCCGCCCCGCTGTACTTAGCTGCTCCTGACTGTCAAATGGCAGGCCCAACGAGTTGGCACCCAACTGTTCCAGCACTTCATACTGCTTAGGGAAGGCAACAACAAAATGGGGCAACGACCAGCTGTATAATGGGAGACCCTGACAGGGGGCTTTCGGGTTGGTTGGTGCATGCGATGATTGCATTGTGAAAGTCGGATGCTAGGTGGAGAGGGCTGGCTCGCGCTCACACGGCACCTGCTCGTGGTGGCGCTGGTTGCACCTCCTTCGTTTACCACCACACCAGCCTCATCCACTTCAAACAGCTCATTCACTCTACCCAGAAGTCCACGCCTACGTTTCAAAGAAGACGCTCATTGCATCATGGGACACAACAAGGCACCGAGGTTAGATACACGCAAAACGCAAGGATAGAGGCGGGTGTGTGAGGGTGCAACCCAACTGGGAGGGAGACATTGCCTAGGGGTGCGATGGATTGTGGGACGTGCAATGATGCCATGATGTGGGGCTGAGGGGCAACGCACACCTGCGGATGGGAGTGGTGGAGGGATACAGCGGGGATAGGGCCATGCTCTTATGTTGCTGTGGGATTGAATTGGTGGGAAAGGTGAGTGCTTCTATGTGGCTGCAGGGTTGATACAGTAGGGGAAGGGTAGAGCAAATATGTGGATGTGGGGTTGATATAGAAGGGGGGTGTTAAGTGCTGATTTGGGGCTGTGGGGTTCATACAATGGAGGAAGGGAGAGTGCTAATATGGTCCAGAGCGATTTAGACTGGGGGGGGGGGATACGGGAGTGATCATGTTTGGGGCAGTGGGGTTGATGTTGCGGGGAAAGGGGGGTGATAGCTGACTGTGATACTTCACCTTATATGACGACTGCGCACACACTTTCGTTACGCAATAGTGGCATGCTAGCGAGGGGGAGGGGAGCAAGGGGGAACGGGCACGCTAGCAAGGGTGACTGTGAAGGGTTGTTCAAGTGACCGTGAAGGGGAGAGATAGCGATACGGAAGGGGAGTGCTTTCGATGGGGAGGGAGAGTGACAGAGATTGCAAAAGGGAGTGCTTGCGACGTGGAAGGGGAGTGACAGTGAAGGGGATGGAGTCATAGTGACGGGGGAGGGGAGTGCTAGCGGAAGGGGAGTGATCGGTTGGGGGGGAAGGGCCGTTCAAGTGACTGTGAAGGGGAGAGAAAGCGACATGGAAGGGGAGTGCTATCGATCTAGATGGGGAGTGGTAGCGATTGGAGAAGGGAGTGCTGGCTACGGGGAAGGGGAGAGCAACCAATGGGAAAGGGGAGTGAAAGCGATCGGGAAGGGGGGTGCTTGCGACATGGAAGGGGAATGCTCGCGACGGTAACGGGAGTGCTATCGATAAGGGCAGGGAAGTGCAAGCAACGGGGAGAGGGAGAGATAGAGACGGGATAGGGGGGCACTAAACACACAAAGGGGAGTGATAGGTTGGGGGGGAAGGGGCGTGATAGCGATGGGGAAGGGGGGTGCGTGGGACGGGAAATGGGAGTGCTAGCGATGGGGGAACGGACACGCTAGCGAAGGGGAAGGGGAGTGATAGGGAGGTGTCATTAGAAGAGACTGGAATGGGTGAACTAGAAAGCATTGTGAGTACAAATATGAAACCCTAATGTGGTGACCCCCCTATAGGCTAACCCACTACAGCCTACACAAGCACAACATATATAATGTTTGACACACCCCCATAGGCAAAGTGGGGGAGACCTAGGGGTCACAAGACCAGTCAAGGCAAAGCAAAAAACAACAACAAGCTCAGGGTGGATCTCAAGGATACCACACAAATTCCGAGCACAAGCAAGTGGTCACAAGACCAGTTCACATGCAGGTTTATAACAGAGCATGGGATACAGTGATCACAACCTAGCAAGAGTAAACATGCAGGTAGATATATATATAGTGATCACAGTACAAGCAAGGTCAAGAGGTAAGTAAGTGAGGTCCAGTAGGCACAAGGCCTAGCAGAGTGCAGAAGCGCTGATGGTCACAAGGCGGAAGCGCCTTGGTGAACACATCAGCAAGGTTGGCCTCAGTGGCCACGTAAAGCAGACAAAGCTGACCGCGCTGCTGCAGCTCTTGAGCAAGGAAGTACCGCAGGGCGATGTGCTTCGTTCTGTGCTCCAGTCTGTGCTCCTCACACAAGGCAATGGCAGCCTGGTTGTCAACGTACAGCACTGGAGGAGAACGAGGCCGCTCACCCAAGTCGGTCAGCAGGTAGGTCAGCCAGCGTAGCTCCTGGGCAGCCATGGCTGTGGCGTAGATCTCAGCCTCACAACTGGAGCCGAGAACAGAAGAAGAGCGTGTAGAACGCCAAGAAACTGAGCCGGAGCCAAGGCTGAAGGTGTAACCCTGAGACGACCGCTGAGTAGCCTGGTCGTCCGCCCAAGAAGCGTCTGAGTGTCCAGTAAGTACAACTCGGTCTCGCCCTCCAAGCACTAGCCCCATGCCCGACGTACTGCACAGGTAGCGCAACACCCTCTTAGCGGCATCCATGTGCTCCTTCCTGTGACGGCCAGGAGCGACATAGCGTGCAAGGATGCTAAGAGGGTATGCAAGGTCAGGTCGAGTGCAGGTCATCAGGTACATGAGGCAGCCCACAAGCTCTGGATATGGGCCACTCGGCTCTACGGACTCATCCGAAGGCAGAGCTGAGAGCGAGTGACCGGTAGGCAGAGGAGTGGACTGAGGCGAGGAGTACGTGAAGCGGAAGCGCTGAAGGATCTGCTGCACCATGTGTGACTGAGTCAAGGTGATGGTGCGCCGTGCTCTGTCCCGGGTGATCCGCAAGCCAAGATAGCTTGTCAGTTCACCCAGGTCTGTGCATGTGTGTCTCCTCTGCAGCTCCGACTTCACGTGGGCGAGTGCCGCGGTGTCAGCAGTGGCAAAGACCAAGTCGTCGACGTACATGAGGAT